TGATAAAGAGTAACCATACCAGGGTGAAGGCGTCTTCTTCTATTTGTCCCCATGTCAGTTTCAGTTTATTGGCTAGTTTTTCTAATACAGTAAGGCTGTTTCTCATACTATACCATTGGTCTATGCTTACTCCTGACAGGTCTCTCCAGTGTCTGGCTATGATGCTTCTGGCTGCTGAGAGTAGGTGGGTTATGAGCTCTTTGTGATGTGAGTGGGCATTGTTATCTTGGAAGATGTTCAGTAGGGCCAGTTCTGGGGTGAATTCTAATACTTGCTTAGTTATTTTGCATATTTCTTGTATGATTGATGTCCAGAACAGTTGGATTTTAGGACATTCCCACCACATGTGGAGGTATGTGCCTGTGGAGGTGCAGCTTCACCAGCATTTTGATGAGGTTCTTGGGCGTATTAGCATTAGTTTCTGTGGTATTAGATCCTGCAGCTCCTTGACAAGTACTGCTGCTTGATGTGTTTTCCCTCAAACCAGCTTCAGTCTGACTAGAAAAGGGCCTTCTGGTGGTTCCCCCACTGCGAGAAATGAGGTTACAGGGAACCAGACAGAGGGCCTTCTCGGTAGTGGCGCCAGCCCTGTGGAACGCCCTCCCTTCAGATCTGAAGGAAATAAGCAACTATCCTATTTTTAAAAGACATCTGAAGGCAGCCCTGTTTAGGGAAGTTTTTAATATTTAATGCTGTATTGTTTTTAACACTCGATTGGGAGCTGCCCAGAGTGGCTGGGGAAACTCAGCCAGATGGACGGGGTATAAATAATAAATTCTTATTATAATATTATTATTATTATGCCACATTCACTTTGTGAACGGTGTGCACATTCGAGACAGCCGTTCCACATGCACAGATAACAGCTTCATGAGTAAGACAGGCGCTGAGGAAGCGGGGTGCAGTGGGGGTGGGTCGCTCTGGGTGTCACCACTGAGGAGGGTGGCAAAATGCCAGGCAGCACTCACCACGGGGCCTGCAGTGCGCCCGAGCCACATGTCTCTCCTGGGAGAGATGAGGTGGCCTGGGCACGCACAGGCTCCACGCTGCCCAAATGGTCCACCCACTGCCTCCCCCCCACCCAGCTGTAGGGTGGCTGATTGAGAGAAGGCAGGCAGACTCTGGAGGCCCCACAGTGCACCCCATCCCTATGGACAGCTCACCTGCCCCTGGGCGCACCGCCCAAGGTGCCCAAGTGGCTTCCTCCACCACTGGAGTAAGCATCCGGGGTGTGTGTGTGTGGTCAGCAAAACCAAAAAGGTCCTGCATATTGGGTGAAGACATCCCCTCCCTTTCTCTGATGTGAACAACACTGTGTGAATGTGGCTTGAAATGAACGGGTTGGGCAGAACAAGCTCGCTGCATTTTACGTTGCTTATGTGAACATATCCTTAAGTCTTGAGAAGCACACCAAGCTCAAAGAGGAAGTGGGAAAGAGCATCCTCCTCCTAACTTTCTCCTGCAGCTGCATGCAATTTTCCATGGCCAAGGAGGTAGCGGGTGGGAGAGGGGTAGGTCTCATAGGCTTTGTGGGTGCCAAGGGAAGATCACATGAGGCACCATGGCACCCATGGGCCACCATAGTGGGGACCCTATAATACAATCCTATTTAAATACTTACAAAATTATTTATAATTGGAAATATAAAAGATGCAAGTGGAAACAAAAAGATGTGCCCTCTTTGTTGGAACAGATGTTAAGATTATAAGACTTGGCACATATGATAAAACTACTTTTAAGATTAGAGAAGATATGCAATTGAAAAGTTTTGTTGAGAAATGGTTCATCTGTATAAAAAAACACACACAGAATAATACTTTTTAAAGCATGTAGTCTTTTATGTTGTTGTTAAGAGTTTTGTCATTGTGATTGCAATGGCAGTGATTGTTTGGAAGATTTCAAAAGGGTCACCATCTTGAAAGAGGCAGTGATCTGGCCACTCCTGAAAAAGCCCACCCTGGACCGACCAATTGGCTTGTGACAACTGCCACCCTGTTGTCAATTCCCCCTTTCAACGGAAGGTGATTGAGAGGGTTGTGGTGATCTTGCCCATTCCAGTTGGGTTTCAGACCTGGTTATGGGACTGAATCAGCCTTGGTTGCCCTGGTGGATGACCTTATCAGCAGGACTAGAGGATTAAAACCCTGTTAGTTTTACTTGAGCTCAGGGACTTTTGATTCTATCAGACATGGTAGCTTCCTGAACCTGCTCCGTGAAATGGGCAATGTTTTACTATGGTTTGGTTCCCACCTTCAGGGTCAGTTTCAGAGCACAGCGTTGGGTGATTATCTCTCGTTCCCCTAGACGTTCTGCTTCAGGGTGCCTCAGGGTACCATCCTGTCCCTGTTTCAATTTAACATCTACATGAAGCTGTTGAGAGCTGTCATCGGTATGCAGATGATACTAAGCTCCATTTCTCTGTAACATCTAAATCAGGAGAAGCCATGCAAGTTCTGGACTGGTGCCTGGTTTCAGTGGTAGGCTGGATGAGAGCCAAGGAATTGACTCTCTGAGTCCTGCCAAGGAGGAGATGCTGGGGCGAGCAGTTCCTAAGTCTGGATTATTGGTCAATAGCCTGCTTTGGATGGGGTCATGCGCCCCTGGAAGGAGAAGATTCATAGTTCTGGTGGGCACTTGGATCCATCTCTGTCACTAGAGTCCCAGGCTATGAGTGCCTTTTTACCAGCTACAGTTTCTGGACCAGGATAGCCTAACCGCTGTCATCCATGTGCTGCTAACCTCCAGATTGGATTCTTCCAAGGTGGGTCTGTCCTTTGGGCTGATCTGGAAACTGCAGCTAGTGCAAAATGTAAAAGCGAGACTGCTAACTAGGGGTGCAATATTGCCAGTATATTGCTGCTGAAAGAATTGGCTGCCAATTGGCTACTGGGCTAAGTTCAAGGAGCTGGTACTGATACATAAAGCCCTGCATCCCTTGGAACCAGAATGCCTAAAAGATTGTCTCATTCCCTTCATACCCAGCAAACTAATACCAGTGTACTGGAAGAAGCAAAGATCACCAGTGTTGAAGCAATGATTCTTCAACATCAACTTTGTTGGACTGGTCATGTTGTGCGGATGCCTGATTATCGTCTTCCAAAGCAACTACTCTATTCCAAACTTAAAAATGGAAAGCGTAATGCTGGTGGTCAATGAAAGAGGTTTAAAGACTGTCTCAAGGCAAATCTAAAAAAATGTAGTATAAACACCAGCAATCGGGAAACACTTGCCTGCGAGCACTCCAGCTGGAGAACAGCCTTTACCAAAGGTGTCATGGGCTTTGAAGACACTCAAAGTCAGGACTTAAGGGAGAAAAGTGCTAAGAGGAAGGCACGCTTGGCAAATCCACACCATGATCAACTCCCGACCGGAAACCAATGTCCCCACTGTGGAAGGACATTGGATCCAGAACTGGCCTCCACAGTAACTTATGGAATCATTGTTAAAAGCTGTGTTTATGGAAGACAATCTTACTCGGCTATGAGTGATCGCTGAAGAAGAAGAAGAAGATAACTGTGTTCTACAGGAGGGCATCCTAAAAAAATCCAATCCTATAAGGAGGTCGATTTCATATGTCAGAATTGGGCCTTTATATGTGCAGTTGCTCCATATATGTTTTTATTGTAATGCAAATTGCTCTGGGATGCCTCATGGGAAGCAATTCATAACCAAATGAATTAATGGTAGTTTAGATTTTCATAAACAGGATTGTGCATGAATTCAATGTTTTAATAGTTTAGTAGTTGGAAATGTTACCCACCCACACAAACCCACCCACACAAAACTTTTGTACAAGATAACTGAAAATAAGAGATGAATATTACTAATGTGGAACTGGATGTGCAGATCCCGGCTCCATGATACTACATAATCCACGTTTATTGTTCCATCACAAAACTTCTAAAATTAGATTCGGTGTCAGCAGAACAAATAGGGGCTGACTGTTGGCAGACTAAATATAGCTTAAGTTGCAAGTTGGGTATATGTTGGGGCAATCACATGATAGTTTCATAATGTGCCACCAGAGACTTCTCCTATAAAGGAGAATGAATATGAAGAAGCAAGTGTGTGAACAGGGCCAAACAGGGCAATGCTATTAACGTCTACTGAAACGTAGTCCCATGGGACATACTCTCAGGTAAGTCTGTATACAACTGCAGATGATGTACTGCTGTTGTACAACTCCCATTCATTTGGTGGGCTTCCAGAGGAGAAATTATTCACAGGTTGTTCACAAAACAAGCACAGATGGGCAATAGCTGTCATCACGGAGTTTGATTCTCTAGGGGTCTTGCTCATAGTACTTTTTTTTCCAGTTCACAATTCACCACCACCACAAGCGCTACAATTCTATGAATGAGGGGGTTGGTGCTGTGCTGTTTTGGTTGTGATTGTATGCATACATACAACATATAATGATCTATTTAATCCAATAAATGCTTAAATGTTTTTAAATGATTAGGATTCCCCCCTCCCCAAGTTTTAGTTGTTCTTTTAACTGCCTTAGGGAAGAAGGCTGGGTATAAACAAATATATAACAAAATCAGAGAATCGCATAGATGGAAGGGACCCCGAGGGTAATACAACACAGTAATAATATTAGCAAACTTGCACAGGGTGGGGGTCGGGAGAAGGGAACTTCACCTGCTGAACTTCTGCCTGTCCAGTTGTTGTTAAAGGAAATGTGTGTCTGTGAGTGGTGTTTTTTTTTGTTTTTTGTTTTTTTTAAGGCAATCCTTACTGACACAATTCACCATTCATAGGCAAAGCCAGCTATTAGATTCGTTGCAAAGAAATCCATAAAGCTGCGCGGGGGGGGGGGGGAAGAAGCGTCTATCTCTACAGCGCAGCTTAGAACAACCCCAAAATACGTTTGTTTGGGTTTTGTTTTTATTTTTTTAAAGTGAAGGGCTTCCCATCTCCCCGTTGCTTATTCCAGCCCTGTAATGCGCGCGACCGCATCTCTTCTGCTGGGTTACCATAGAAATAGAGGCACGGCCAGAGACGTTTGCATTCAGCGAAGTGGCCGAGGAGCCAGGGCTTGATTGGTCGGTCGCCGCAGTAGAGGAGTGGCGGAGGGTCAAGGAGAGGTGAGCTCATGCGGGGGGCGGGCGAGCCGGAGCTGGCAAAATGCGCGCTGCAAAGGGGGCCGTTGCTGATTAGAGTCCTGGATCGCCCCCCCTTCCCCCCCCTCTCTAAATGGAAGCGTTTAAGCAGCGATCTTTACAGAGACAACGCCGGCCCTCCGTTTTAACTCGCACGTGCCCAAGTTGCACGAGGAGCCTTTGAATGGGTCTCGGCCGCATGACATCTAGCGCCCTCTCGGGGGTACTGCACCCTGCGGCGAAGGGAACGGCAGCCAGGGGCTCTTGGAAGGCTGGTCCAATCTTCCATCAATCGCGGAATTGCACGAGTTGGAAAGGGATCCTGGGGGTCATCTAGCCCAACCCGCTGCAAATGCAGGAATGTTTCACCCAACGTGGGGCTCGAACCCACGAGCTTGAGACTAAGAGGCTCTTAGCTCTACCTAGTGAGCTATCCTGAGTTCATTCCTGGACTCCATTTCCCTGCTGCTTAATACGTATCAGCTCCGTTTGCAGTGCAGGCCCAGGCACAACCCGTCTCTCTGCATAGCAAGACCCTTCAAAGGCGGAAAGTTAAGATGTTTTTGAAGCAAGTTTAAAATAAAACTAAAAATGCAGAGCTCTGGAAAAAAGCACCGCCTCACATTTTAGGCACCAAAGCTGCAGAGCTTTATAAACTTACCTGGGAGTAGACCTAGTTGAGCACACTGTAGGACCTGCTTCCTAGTAAATATGCATGGGGTTGCATTGGGTTCAATAAGGTTTACTATCATGTAGACCTGGACATTGGACGCGGGTGGCACTGTGGGTTCAACCACAGAGCCTAGGACTTGCCGATCAGAAGGTTGGCGGTTCAAATCCCCGTGACGGGGTGAGCTCCCGTTTGCTCGGTCCCTGCTCCTGCCAACCTAGCAGTTCAAAAGCACGTCAAAGTGCAAGTAGATAAATAGGTACCGCTCCGGCGGGAAGGTAAGCGGCATTTCCGTGCGCTGCTCTGGTTCGCCAGAAGCGGCTTAGTCATGCTGGCCACATGACCCGGAAGTTATACGCCGGCTCCCTCAGCCAATAAAGCGAGATGAGCGCCGCAACCCCAGAGTCGGTCACGACTGGACCTAATGGTCAGGGGTCCCTTTACCTTTACCTTAGACCTAGACATTCTGACCTAGGGCAAGCCCCATTGAACTTGGTGGGGCTTACTTCTGAGTAGATGATTGATTGATTGATTGATTGATTGCATTTATATCCCACTTTTCCTCCAAGGAGCTCAAAGTGTGGTACATAGGCCTCCTCCTCATTTGATCCTCACAACAACCCTGTGAGGTAGGTAGGCTTGTAAAGAATTGCACCGTTATTAGGCTTCTTTATGGGCAGCAAGGAGAGCTTTTCCTGTTATCAGGTGTTTTGAAACGGGTGGGATGGGGTGGGGTGTTAGTTCCGAAAGGCAGTTTCCTAAAATTATTTTAACCAGCAAAATATTTGTGCTTGCAAGATGAGTTTAAAGCATTTGACTGGAGTCAGGACTATTATTATTTTTTAACTAAAGCACCTTGATTTTCTTATCGAAGGCTGTGGGATGTTTTCTGAATGGGCTGTAATTTCCACTCCATAGATCAATAGGTCAAAGATCAGAGATAGTTCTGTTGCTGCTACTGTTGTTTTTGGAACTTGAATGGGAAATTCGGGGAGGAAAAGAGAGGAGAGTTATTTGCCAGAGCTAGGGGCTGCAAGCTCTGAGGAGAGAGGCAGCACCAGAAACTGTCCTCTGGGGATCTGCTGAGGTAGTTCCTGTTTGCCCTTGATGTTGCTCTGCTTGCATATTTGTAAATAAAGCAAATATTACAATACCACCCTGCGCATGTGTATGTGTGATCTCCAATACTATCTCATCTAAGAACAAAACTGAAACCAGTGATCCTGTCTCTGGAACTTCTCCCTGGCCAGAAGTAGGCAGATGTACACCATACCTTTCAAGCACGTTCAATGCGCTCTTCAAGCACACGTCTTGCCCCCAAAGCATCCTGGGAAGTGTAGTTTGCTAAGGATGCTGGGAATTGTAATTGATTGAAGAGGAAAACCACAGTTCTAAGGGTTCTTTGGGGGATGTCATGTGCTCTAGAAGCACATTCAATGTGCTCTAAATGTATGGTGTAGATCTGGCCTTCGTAACACTTGTTTGGGAGTAAAGCAATTCAAATCGGAGTCAGCTGAGGTTAGGGTAAAGGAGCATGGCCCTACACCAGCCTTCACTAACTTTATTTCCCCCTGCCTGGTGTTTTGGACAACTCCCATCAGCCCCAACTGTGAAGTGAATCCTTCCTTCTGCCTGCCCCTGGATTGCTGGGCTGCCAGAATGAGCATGGACCCTTTGCTGTGAAATGTGAGCTCCTATTTGGCCAGTTACCTTGGCTAAAGCCTTGCAAGAGTTAGGGCAGCATCTCTGCAGAGCCTGCAACACATAGTGGGTCCCAACACTCTGGGATGTAGCGGCAGGGTGTACGTGCATGTGAGTGTGTGTCTTGCTGCAAAATGGCTTAGGCAGGCCTTGACCTCTAAGACACTCTATAGCAGAGCTTTCCAAACTTTTCATGTTGGTGACACACTTTTTAGACATGCATCATTTTGTGACACAGTCATTCAGTTTTAGTAGCAAACTGGAGGTTAAGCTAACCTCTTTCCAGACCTGGGAGAAGCACGGGGAACGTTTGCACAACAAACCTACACACTGCACCCAACACACTAAAGCAGAGGTTTTCAACATTTTTGGGTCCACAGCTCCCTTGACCAACTACATTATTTCTGCGGCACCCCTGTGGGGCTCAGGATCCCAGTTATGTCACCCTTTGCCTGCAGAGCCGGCAGCCCCTCACTCTTTTTCAAACACCCTCCCTTGTGAAGGGTTCCCTCAGCCTCCTCTCCTCTCCCTTCTCCTTGGGAGTCCTCTGGGCAGCTGCTGCTGCCGCTCCTGGTCTCTCAGCTGCCCCACTGCAAAGAGAGGTGCCTCCTCACACTGTCCCACAGGAGCCTGGGAAGCACCCCCTTGCCAGCCTCTGATCAGCCCGGGGAGCTTGTAGCCAGGGCTGCTGCAACAAACAGCTTTGCAAGCCTTTGGGAGGCAGAGACGCGAGAGGGCATCAGAGGAGGGAGGGAAGGAAAGAGGGACAGAAGCTAGTGTTGCCCACAGCACCCCTGACCATCATTCAAGGCACCCCAGGGTGTCACGACACACTGGTTTAAAACCACTTGGTTGAAAACCACTGCACTAAAGTGTCACGGCACACAGTTTGGAGAGCACTGCTCTATAGTTTTTTCTGCAACAGGCTAACATAGCTATCCCTTTGGCAGTTGTAAACCAAATGTATATTCCAAATAATATAGGGGCTATTAGCATATTTTATGATGCAGAAATGCAACAACAACAATAACACTTTTAGAGTGAAAACATCCACATTTTTCCCCATTCGTCTTCAAATGAAGAATGCTGAAGCCATGCTTAGATTTAACAAGAGCTTTTCAGAAGGATCTTAACCTTACAAAAGAAAACAAAAGAAAAGTAATAAATGGGGCCAATCTATCTACCTATCTCTTCAGTGCTGAGGAATCTGATTACCCAACATATTAAAAGCATGACGACAGCTCGGTTATTGCTTTTTCCAAGCTGCAGATTGAGAGATTTTGTAAGACTGTTTGAAAAGGAAACAGTGGGGCGTGGAAGTCTTATTTGCTTGCTACATTTGCACCCCCACCTTTCCTGTAAAGAGCTTGAGGCATTGCACATGCCCTACCCCCCCTAATTTATTCTTGGAAGGACCCTGTGAGATAGTTTGGGCTGAGAGACAGTGATAGGCCCAAGATCATAGAGTCATCTTCGCAGCTTGGGGAAGATTTCAACCCTGGTCTCCCCTGTCCTAGTCCAACACACTCTAATGTGGTCTCCTAAAGATGTTGTGGGCTACTAGCCCTGTTATGCTGGGTGGGGCTGGTATAAGTTCTAGACCAGAAGATCTGGAGGCTACCACCTCTCCTTACTTTAACCTCTGGTCTGAGGGGACTAATGTGATTTTATTCACAAAACTTCCACTCTTAATATCCAGTACTGACAATAAAGGGTTAATACGGAGTTATACAAAAATACCAGCCAGGAGGGACAGGTGTTTGAAAATGGAAGTCATCAAACAGAGGAATGTTATTGGATAAAAAGACATTCTGTGTAGGGGAAATCGAGGACACTGGATTATGTTGCGGAAAGAGAAATAAATTAGAGATACAAGTATTGAAGGCTTTTAAACAAATATGTCTAGATGGCGTGGGATGCCTCTAATAGGCAGTTCTTGAGAGCTGGCTAGAGCGGAGCTGCTGCTGCTGTAATTCTTATTATTATTGCAGGATAGTAAATAAACAGTCCATTCCAGGTTGGCTTATGTGGGAAGACCTGCTGGTCTGACCAGTTTAAGCACATTGGCACAGGTCTCTTTTCGGGCTCCATTTTGAACCCCAGGCTCCATCTTTGAGTGCATAAGCAGCTCCCTGGCTTCTGCAGGTACAGTGGGCAGATGCAAAAAAAGAACAGGACTCCTTACACTTTTAATAGCTGAGTATAAGAGGCAATTTCAGCAGGTGTAGCTTGCAGAATCATCATCTCTTCATTGCAATTATTCCCACCTTCTCCCCACCCCGCACAATGGAATGTTTCCCCCTTAGATACTCCTTAAATCTCTTCTGGGGTTTTCCCCAACCCTCCAGATCAGATTTAAGGATGGTACAGAACTCACATGGGGAGGAGCGGATGGGAATCCTGTTGCACCAGCACTAAGCCTTGTGCAGCTATTCCGTTGCATACTGCCCCATGTCTGCTGAAGGGTTCAGTATGTGGTAGATTTCCTACACCATGACATAGCTGTCAAGAGAATTACAGCGTGAGAATGAACCACACCTCAAACCCTTCTACAGGGCCAGGGTTAGTCTTAGCGCTGTCACCATTCCCAAATATTGGGCTGTATACTAAAATTCGCCCAAGACATTTTGCTGCCTGAGGCAAACGACAAGATGATGGCTCCTCGCATTTCATGTACAAAAACTGACCGGAATTGTAGCTGAATCATACTGGCATGCTGTCAACATTGCCCTCTGCTGCACCTAAAGGCAGCAGGCTAGCTTAGGAGGAGCAGAGCAAGGCATTGTATGCACACAGTTCCCTCCTCTTCCCATCCCTCAGTATCCAGGAGCTGACTCACTCTGCCTAATGGGAGGGCCGGCCCTGAGCCACACAGGAATGGAGAAGGACCTCCATGCAGTTGCTCCCATCATCTCACAAATGTATAAATGACTTGAGACTCTGACTGCAGGCAAGGTCAACATTAAGGGCTGTTTATTGCGGTTTATTATTTATCTTGTTTATTACATTGATATCTTTCCTTTCCTCCAAGGAGCTCAAGGCGGCGTACATGATTCTCCCACTCCTCAGTTACTCCTGACAACAACCCTGTGAGGTAGGTGAGATGGGGAGGCAGTAATTGGCCCAAGGTCAGTCAGTGAGTGGGCATTTGAACCCTGGTTTCCCAGGTCCTAGTCTGACACTTATAATCACTACACCACACTGGCTGTTGAAGAAATGCCTTGACTGGATGCATACAGGTTTATTAAGCTGTGATCATTTACATCAGGGGTCAGCAAACTTTTTCAGCTGGTCCACTGTCCCTCAAACCTTGTGGAGGGCCGGACTATATTTTTTTTTGGGGGGGGGAATGAACGAGTTCCTATGCCTCACAAATAACCCAAAGATGCATTTAAAATAAAAGCACACATTCTACTCATGTAAAAACACGCTGATTCCTGGACTGTCTGCGGGCCAGATTTATTCATTTTTTTTAAAAAAAAAATTATTAGATTTTCATATACAAAGTCAAGAATATAAACATAGAAAAGAAGGGAAAAAACGAAAAAAAGAAAAAGTTAAAAAAACCAACTTTCAAAACCATTTTTACATATCCAACTGGACTTCCCCACATCTCCCAAACCCTGCGTCCTTTACAATAAAAATATCAGCAAATTGTTACCTTGTTTCATACCTTACTGTATCTTTCAGATATTATGTTTCTGGATTCAAAATACTATTTCTCAATTACTTGTACCTTAAGATAAACATAATAAAGTTGCTTTAAATTTCCACCTTGTCTTACTTGTAACATAATTTCCAGTTCACCAAATCTAGCTGCTGAAGCTGAGGTCTGCGGGCCAGATTTAGAAGGTGATTGGGCCGGATCCAGCCCCCGGGCCTTAGTTTGCCTACCCATGATTTACATCATCATTTTATTTCCAGGTTAAGAAAGGAATAGCTCTCCTTTCAAGATTTTTGTGATTACCCCACACCCCAGTTGTTGGCTATCTTTCCACTCCAGATTTGATTCTTCATCTATTAATCCCCACCCCACCCAAGCAACTGCCAATTTAGGAAATACTCAGAGGACAGTAAACCACCTACATCCCCAGTGTAAGCATTTTTTTATTTTGACAAAGCAGTAGAATGAGGCAGATCAAAACATTGACTGTAGTAAATTGTTAAGAGGATGAAAACAGCGAGCTTTTGGTGTGCTTTGGAGGAGCTGGTGAAAGGCAGAGAATCTATTTTTGGTGCAGTTAAAATTAATAGGATACATTTCAGTTTCCTCTGTGTATATAATTTCCCTTTAAATCTTAGCTCGTTGCTCTCTGGCTGTCTGTGCAACACAGAAATTATTCTTAGACTACTTATTATTCTAGCAGACTTCTCACCTCTATTCAGTGTGACTCATGGCTGGTTTACACCTGTATATTCATAAAACTAGATGACAGCTGCATTGTATGTTGATCTAAGTGTGGTGAATGAACCGTCACAGATCTAAAACATTAGACAAATCTTTTAATATCAGGCAGTGCCACGCCTCCTCAAAAACAGCACTGAAGTCAATCCGCACAGTCAGCTGCTAGTCAAGTAACACAGAGCTATGTGTGAACCAGCCTTTAACAGGGTTCTCGAAGACTTATCGACTCAAGCAGCCCAAAGTGCCTTCAAGTGCATAAAACAGTGTTGTTGTTTTCTATCCATGATCCACAACCCTTTCAAAAGTGACCATCGGCAGTCTCCATCATCTTAAGGTGAGCTGTTAGGCACCACTACAATGTTGACCACATGGCATATTTTACTTTCATTTATTGTCCTGTGTTTCTACCCCAATTCTTTCTCCTGAACTTAGGCAGGAAGAACCAAATGCACAAATATAAGATAGGGGACACCTGGCTTACAAGCAGTACATGTGAAAAGGATCTTGGGGTTTTAGCGGACCACAAGCTTAACATGAGTCAACATGAGGCAATAAAAAGCTAACACTATCCTAGGCTGCCTCAACAGATCAAGGGAAGTCATAGTACCACTCTAGTCTGCCTTGGTGAGACCACACCTGGAATACTGTGTGCAATTCTGGGCACCACAATTTAAGAAGGATGTTGTTGAGCTGGAATGTGTGCAGAGGAGGGCAACCAAGATGGTCAAGAGTCTGGAACCCAAGCCTTATGAGGAATGGTTGAAGGAGCTGGGAACATTTAGCCTGAAAAGGAGGAGACTGAGAGGAGATATACGGTAGCCATCTTCAAATATCTCAAGGGCTGTCACATGGAAGAGGGAACAAGCTTGTTTTCTCCTGCCCTGGGGGTAGGACTTGAACCAATGGCTTCAACTGGTAACAGGGGACAGGGCCTTTTTAGTGGTGGAGCCTTAGCTTTGGAATGCTGTTCCCAGAAAAGCTCACCTGTTGCCCACTCTGGTGACTTTCCACTGCCAGGCAAATAACTTTCCAGGCAGTTTAATTTGTGTTGATCTGTTTTACTCTGGTTATTTTTTATTCAGCTGCTATAGATTTTCTGTTTTTAGCTTATTTTTCTGTTTCACCATAAGCAGCCTTCATCCTGTGTTTGAAGGGCTGGGTGTAAGTTCTAATAAGAAAATAAATAATAATAAATGATAGAGAGAAGGCTAGCATGGGGGTACATTTTTACATTGACAGGAGCGAAGACTGTTGTTAATGAATTCTTCTGTGCTACAATATTCCTGTTTTGGGGGATGGAGAGGAATGTTTCACTTGAGTGCTTTAGGAAGGAACATAGGGTGTTTCCTAAACACATGTGCTGTAATTCTCTCCATAATGGCATTCTCTTTGTTGTTCTCCATAGTTTTGGCAGCATAGTTGCCAACATAAGATGCTCGCAGACGGCATCTGTCGAATTTCCTTATCATAGTGGTATGTTTTCCCTTTCAGACTGCAAATATGCAAATATATTGTCAGTGTCTCTTTTCCCTTCTGCAATTCAGTTAGCTGGGGGCTTTCCCATAGAGTTTGACTTTCCCAAGTGCATTTATTTCAGAATTCAACCGCCGAGAACGTGCTCTTTTCAGCAAGAAATGCAGGGAATGCAATGCTGCAGAATCCGTCTCCTGTCAGCTCCTTCTCAGAATCAGCTGTTAAACAGACGACATGCTCCAAAAAAGAAACAGGCTGCCTGAAGCAGCTTTATTCCGTAAGTTGAAACATCCCATCTGTGCCACATAATTAACACTTTGTGAATACTAGAGGGCTGTGAACTTTGTACAGACAAGCATGGATTCCGAGCCTTGCTAACACAGATTGTTAAGCATGTCAGCTGCTGCCCTGGGCCAGGGTTTGAAATGGTTTTTAATTGCTTGATGGGCAAATCACTTTATTCAGCCTCCTTGAATTGAAGGGTGCATGCAGACGTATGTTGTTTAAATGGGCACTGGCTTTGGTCGGATGTAGCACAAAACTACGGTATAGTATTACATGCAAAAGCCTTGAACTTATGCGTTCTCCCCCTCCAGGGAAGAGCTTATAAGCTTTTGCTGCTATTTTTAACTAACTGCAGTTTAGCATTATTTATGAACCTAGACAAACAGTGGTTACTCTTAACTATGTCTTATTAAAACAATCCAGTTTCATACCATAGCTTAAGAATCTGGGTTCTGAGTGTGGGTGTAACACAACCAGCGCCGGCCCACCTATCAGGCAGCAGGATTCTCAAGGGTAGCAGACCCGGCCGACCAAGGAATGCATTGCCTGCTGCTGCTACGGTGCACCATTTTGTGGTTCACCTCAGGTGCCAAAACGCAACTGTGGTTCATCGAAAATGGAAGTGAAAGTTTCTGATCCCATGTTGGAAGAGTGGGCGATAAAATATGGGGATCTGATATTTGCCCAGGCGCATTTGCATAATGATAAGCTTAGCATTCCGTTTGAATGAGGCCACTATGGAAGTGCACTCACCGTGTTGAATGAAATTTCATAGCCAGGATCAAACTTGGGATCTTGCTTCAGAAAGTAAGGTAAAGGCACCCCTGACCGTTAGGTCCAGTCGTAGACGACTCTGGGGTTGCAGCGCTCATCTCGCTCTGTAGGCTGAGGAGCCGGCATTTGTCTGCAGACAGCTTCCAAGTCATGTGGCCAGCATGACTAAGCCGCTTCTGGCGAACTACAGCAGCACACGGAAACACTGTTTACCTTCCCGCCAGAGTGGTACCTATTTATCTACTTGCACTTTGACGTGCTTTCGAACTGCTAGGTTGGCAGGAGCAGGGACTGAGCAACGGGAGCTCACCTCATCATGGGGATTCGAACCACCAACCTTCTGATTGGTAAGCCCTAGGCTCTGTGGTTTAGCTGCAGAAAGTAGCTGTGCACAAAACTAATAGGCTGGTGCTTTTGATGTCTTAGATCCACATCCTCAGAACAATTTCACTGTTTTTAAATGGATGTAAACATAAGGCAGTAAACGAACATAGAAATGAGTAGACATTAACATTGCACTTTCAAAAATAACAATGCAGGTAGCCTGCTGGAAAAAGAAAAGAAAACAGACAGCTGAGATTGGTATTTGAATCACAGACAGGAATGTCAGTTGAATGTATTGTGAAGGCAGAATGCAGGCCAGCTCCTTCCACGAAGCCCTAGTTACGGTAAATGTCTGTTTGCATGAACCTTACACTTTCTGTATCAATGAGTCTTATACCTGTTATACCTTCCTTGCAATTTTTTTTTTAAAGCAGCATTTTCTTGTGAATCAAACTATAAAAATCAGGGAAAGGGTGTTGGAAAATTAAGCAGCAATTTGGGGAAGGAGCAGTTGTGGGTTCATTTATTTATTTTGTACAGTTGTACCTTGGTTTCCGAACAGAATGCATTCTGGAAGTCAGTTCGACTTCCAAAATGTTTGGAAACCAAGGCGCAGCTTCCGATTGGCTGCAGGACACTCCTACAGCCAATCAGAAGCCGCAGAAGCCACGCTGGACGTTCGGCTTCTGAGGCAAAGTCTGCAAACCGGAACACCTACTTCTGAGTTTGTGACGTTCCGAGTTGTTTGTGAACTAAGCTGTTCAAAAACCAAGTTACGACTATGCTCCATTTACAATCATTTGAAGCTAAGCTCTTTTGAAATCGCTCTGGCTTACTTCTGAGTTACCTTATGGAACATCTTCAGGAAAAGAGAAGGCTAAGGAGTAAACCCTACACAAATCTGGAGTGGAGTTCCTAAGATGGTTGGATGGTGCTTTGTACGCCTCCTTCCAGTAACTCCTGCAGCCAAGTTGGTGCCAAACTTATTGCTCTGCTTTCCTTTGGACCACAGGGAGGCTAAGAATGGGGTCTTGTTGTTTTGGCAACCTAGAACCTTCATACACACTGTCCAGGCTTCCACCCTGGAGCGGTCATGTTGGTGCCGCTAATGCAGCAAAAACAATGTGGGAGGAAGCAGTTATGAGTTACTGGTCTCTGCAGCTACAGCAGGTGCTGTGATTCTCCAGTGGTTTGGCCTCCCCTGGAGATGCACTGCATTGTCTCTTAAGACAGATGGATGCCTATTTACTAGATTGCCAAGATTCTGATCAAAACGTTCTGTACCAAGTCACTATCTCTGAATAATGTTTCTGCAGTAGTTTTTTGAAAGGGAGCCTTAAAAATATGCTTTTTTTGTAAATACTGGTCACAAATGTAGGGTTTTGGAAGTCGCTAGCATGTTAACACTGTTACCAGAGACACCCCTATCCAAAGAGGGGAAAATATGGCAGCCACCTTAAACACTTACAACACATTTTATTTTTATCCAAAGGGAAATTATATAGTGGCTGCGATCCAGAGCACACCACCCCATCTTCATCAGAACTTAGCATAAAATCTGCCCATTGATGATTAAAGGGCGCTTCCAGAAATACAGTATAGGAAAGTCAGTACAGTAGTGGAGTCATTTTTTTGGCTGGCATTCTTGGGGGTTTTGCTCTCGTTGTCGGAATTTCTCATCCTTTTGATCAATTTGAAAAGAGAAGATGGTTCGCTCGTCTAAAACATTCCTCTCCCTGGACTGTTCAAAGCCTTGTTTCATCTACTTCAGCAGCAACTCTCTCACCCACACAACCAAATGTTACAGATGGGAAAGGTTCTGCAGCGGTGACATTTCTTCTTCAACTCTTGTGTATTTACTTCCAGAGGTGTAAAACCGGTGGAGTTCCAATTTCAGCTGACTCACAGCTACTGGAAATCTTACCTTGGTAATAAATGACAGCCCTAGTTGAGGACGTATGCAAAAGATGCAGATCCATTTCACTGGGCGGAATGTCCTGAAAGTGCTACAGGACTTTTGACCTCTGTTTATTGATACACAGCCTTAAGCTCCAGTCCTTCCATTTTACAAGCAGCCCTGATGCTTCTTAAGCATTGGATCTAGGTCCTGTTGAGTTTCAGGTGGGATGTGGAAGAAGCAAAGTATTGGTACAGATTTGGGGTACCAGAATTTAGGGGTGCAAAAGTCTCCATCATTCTAAGAAGTTAGTGAATGTTAGAAATTATTGAATGCTAGAAATTAATAAATGCATGCAGTCTTCCCCTGGGATGGAAGCATGACAAATGTGTTGATGGCCCATCAAAGGAAGATGTTTGGATGTATGAAACAAGGGGGTAACATGGGTGTTAGATTACACAGAGGAAAAATGTTGTCCTTTTAAAAAACAGAGGCCTGAAACTGTTTCTGTTTTGCCAAACATTTTGGGGGAATTAATTTGATTTAAGGTTCGGCTTTTGTTCCTTATTTTATGTCATTTAATTGATTTTATTTTAAAGCACCACTATATTGTTGTTATGAATTTGGGGCAGTGGGGACAAGTTCCCCATAATCCTAACTTTAGTAAAGGGCAGAGTTTAGCTAATATTTGGAGCACGAAGGGAAGATTCCAGGCCAGTGAAAAATACAGGCTGAACCAGTTCTCCTGTTCAGGAGATTGCTGATAGCGACGCTATTAAGAACACAAGGAGAATTGGTCAGAAACAGAAGAACTGAGAGGGGGAGGTTGCCAGGGTTAACAGAGGGTGTGATGTCACCACAGGAAAAAAGGTGTGCTTTTAAAACAGAGGTTTCAGACGAGGGGTTTTGGGAAAGACGAAGGGAGGGGCCAGAACTCAGAGAATCAGAGAACTGTGGGGTTGGAAGGGGTCCCCAAGGGCAGGAAAATAATACTCTCCTTTTTTTCCTTCTTCTTTTTTTTTTAAGGATACAGTCAGGGCCTGCACGATTCCCTGGGGAAGAGTCTGAATTGCCAATTCCTTTTTTTTTTTTTACATTTAGAAGAAGCAGAATACACTACCTGCTGGCCACCTTGCAAAACTGAAGGAACTTTGAGCAAATTGAAAGTGGACACCCGTTTAGGCCACACCAGAAATACTGGTCTATCTGGTATGAAAGAGGACATTTGGAGAGCCTTCAGTAATCCCAGCCATGTAGCTAAGCAGTGTGTGCTGGAAACCCCCGGACCTGAGCTTCTTCATGCTCAAACACATGGCAGTAAAGTCACAATACTCAAATGAAGCACCCTTGACTCTCGCATAAGCCGCAACATTCTTAAGGGTGCACCCCCAATATTTCTGCTTTATTGACGTCAGAAGAAGCACAATAAAAGTGGGAGAAAGAACACCCAGGAACATTTGTGGTATATATATAAAAATAAATCATGTGATTTCAGCAGAAGGCTATGGGACATGTACTGACTGGAAATGCAACAGCGTGACTTCACCCAAACCTTTGTAGGCACCTGGGTATAACTGTTCTGACACCATCATGAGCTCAAAGCATCATGGGTGAGCAACAAAAAGGACGTCTGGCAGGAGCAGGGACCGAGCAACGGGAGCTCACCCCGTCGCGGGGATTCAAACCGCCAACCTTCTGGTCGGCAAGTCGTAGGCTCTGTGGTTTAACCCATAGCGCCACTCACGTCCGGAGGACCCTTAGGCATTGCTAAAATAAACGCATTACCACAAAAGAAGATACAAATCTGCATGTGCCAATTTGTATGTATAATTCCAAATCTAGAACCATTCGCTGCAATTTCATTAAAATATAATGCGCCTCACCATAACAAGGAACAAGACTATGGTGTGTGTGCCTGCCTAGTTTTGCAACCCAGGGGTGAAGCGTTTGTGGGCACCTTCAAGACCCCTGCTGCTCTTTCTTCTTACAGTTCTTCA